TGAGTAGAGGAGCAGGTCATGGGAAAAGAGGGCTTGTCCTGAGCCAAGAGCTCAGAGAACCATCTGTGCTACAGCTCTTGCTCACTCTGTCACTTTCCTTGATACCCAATACAGGAAGAAAGAAGGGTAGTCTTCATTGGGAAGATACCTGGCCGCATGACTCGGTCAGAGCTGAAACAGAGGTTTTCTGTTTTTGGGGAGATTGAGGAGTGCACCATCCATTTCCGAGTCCAAGGGTAAGTTTGGGTCCAAGGTCAGGATATCCTTACTGTCCCATTTGTCTACCTTAATGTTTCTTGTCTTGCTTCCTTGTTCTGGTGTGCTGGCAATATGGGGCTCCTTTATTTCTACTATCAGAGGGCCATTGGGCATTGAGAACCACCTCTATATTCTTGGGTACTATGCCTTCTTTTTTTTTTTTTTTTTTTAATATTTTATGTTTTGAGTTTTAGGTGGACATAACATCTTTATTTTATTTTTATGTGGTGCTGAGGATCAAATCCAGTGCCTCATGCATGCTAGGCAACCACTATATCTCTGAGCCACAACCCCAGTCCTACTATGTCTTCTTAATGTGCCCAAATGGCTCTCCCCACCAGTGATAACTATGGCTTCGTCACTTATCGCTATGCTGAGGAGGCATTTGCAGCCATCGAGAGTGGCCATAAGCTGCGCCAAGCAGATGAGCAGCCCTTTGATCTCTGTTTTGGGGGCCGCAGGCAATTCTGCAAAAGGAGCTATTCTGATCTTGGTGAGTAAAGGGAGGGCCTGAAGTTTTGGCATACATACTATATCTGTTCCCCAAAAGGGTTCCTATCCGTGAGAGTGGACCTAGGCAGACTTCTCATTGGACATACAAATAACTTAAGGATTGGGGTGAGGGAAGAAGTGAGGGCTCTCCTTTACCTCTTTGATTTAAAATTGGGGCCATTTTAGCCCCATTCACGATTTGGATATATGATGGCTGGCATTGAGAACCCTGTGGTTGGGAAGTATGGTCAGCGACCTTGATATTCATCTCTCTCTACTTTTGTAGACTCCAACCGGGAAGACTTTGACCCTGCTCCTGTAAAGAGTAAATTTGACTCTCTTGACTTTGACACATTGTTGAAACAGGCCCAGAAGAACCTCCGGAGGTAACCCTGGGCTCTTCTCCCCTTCCCTTTTTATTTGGAGGTGCCCAACCTCCTCCACCCACCTCCCCAACTCTAGGGGAAAGAGCTGCTAGTGAGGAGATGACTGTTTTATAAAGAAATGGAAAAAAGTGAAATAAAAAAAATGTGTTAAATCAATTTTTTAAAGGGGTATTTGTTTTTTTCTTTTTATAACAGGTGTTGAAACAAGTTAATTTGCATTCCTATGTCAGATGGTTGGGACTGAGGGGTTCCCCAAGTGTTTGGAACATCTTAATCACTATGCAGACTAATAAATATGAACTAGAGAGAACTCCCAAGCGTTATTGTACTTCTTTCTATGGTGCTAGTGCCACATGGTATTTCACTTTTCCTGTGAACACAATCAGGGATCTGCTTACCTCCATTGAATTCTTAGGACTTCTTTCTGGTGAGGTGGAAAATCCCACTGGATTTGAAAGTGGCTCCTGGGGTGTATTGTCTAATAAGTCAGGACAGTGCTTCTTAAAATTTGAAAGGACATTTGAATCACATGGTCATCTTTTTAGAATACAGATTCTGGTTTCTTGAGATTCTGCATTTCAGTCAGTTTTCTGGGCCCACACCAATAATCACAGTTACAGGAGGCTGAGGCAGAAGGATTACAAGTTCCTGGCCAACTTGGGCAATTTAACAGAACCCTCTCAAAAAATAAAAGGGCTGGGGCTGTAGTTCAGTGGCAGAGTGCCCTGAGTTCAATCCCTAGTAAAAACCCCCCACCCACCCCCCGCAAAAAAAAGATTGTGTATTCAAAGCAGGTATGATCCCCAGCAGTACCCCCCCCCTTTTTTTTTTTTTTTAAGCATTTTGCTAAATTGTTAAGGCTGGCTTTGAATTTGTAATCCTCCTGCCTCAGCCTCCCAAGCTGCTGGGATTACAGGCATGTGTCACCTTGCCAGGCCACAAAGGAATCTTGATAGAAAGGATTTAGAAGAAAGTTCACACACGTTGCAAATAAAGACTTTCTAAATGGGTTTGTGTGAACATTTCATTCTTTTCAGCCAAGTTCACCATAAAACTTGAGCACAATGCTGGGCACATTGCAGATACTTGAATGTATTATTTATTTATTTTTTGGGGGGTGCTGAGGATTGAACTTGGGCACTCAACCACTGAGCCACATGCCCAGCCCTATTATTTTTATTTAGAGACAGAGTCTTGCTGAATTGCTTAGTACCTTGCCCTTGCTGAGGCTAGCTGTGAACTCAGATCTTCCTTGTTTCAGCCTCCAGAGCCACTGGGGTCACAAGTGTACGCCACCATGCCTGGCATGTTGTTATTTCTTGAGGTACTGGGGATCTGGTACAGATCCAGAGACTTGTTCATATTAGGCAAATATGTTCACTGAGCTATATACCCAGGTCTTTATTTTTTGAGACAAGGTCTCAGCTGGGCATGATTGAGCAAGGCTTTAAGCAATTTAGCAGGACCCTGTCTCAAAATAAGAAGTAAGAAAAGGTCTGGGGAGGAAGAAGTGCCTCTGGGTTCAAACCCCTGTACTAAGCAACAACCATAAAAGGGACAAGGTCTCATTAAGTTTCCCAGGTTGGCCCAGAACTTGCCATCCTCCTGCCTCAGCCTCTTTAGTAGCTGGAATTGCAGGCATGCACTACTGTGCCCAGCCAGAATCACTCTTTTTTTTTTGTTTGTTTGTTTTGAGAATTTTTTTTTTTTTTTAATATTTATTTTCCAGTTATCGGCGGACACAACACCTTTTGTTTGTATGTGGTGCTGAGGATCGAACCCGGGCCGCACGCATGCCAGACGAGCACGCTACCGCTTGAGCCACATCCCCAGCCCCAGAATCACTCTTTAAATAGTTGTTAACAGTGTTAACTCTGGATTCAAGGGAGTATATTATTTTGATCATCAACACTAATAAGATGGTCTTCAGGCCAGGTTTGATGCATAGGCCTGTAAACCCAGACAGGCAGAAGGATCACAAATTCAAAGCCAACCTCGGCAATTTAGGCCCTAAGCTACTTAGTGAGACCCTATCTCAAAACAAGGGCTGGAGATGTGACTCAGTGGTTAAATGCCCCTGGGTTCAATCAGGCCTTTAGGGAAATTATGTAAGATTATTAAAGTGCTGATTGAATTTTTTAAAATTTTTATTTTTGGTACTAGGATGGAACCCAGGGATGCTTTTATCACCAAATATGCCCCCAGTCCTTTTTTTTTTTTTAATGTAATTGTAGATGGACAGAATGCCTTTATTTTATTTATTTTTATGTGGTTCTGAGGATTGAACCCAGTGCCTCACGAATGCTAGGCAAGCACTCTTTTTTTAAAAAACTTTTTAATATTTATTTTTTAACTTTTTAATATTTATTTTTCACAACATCTTTGTTTGTATGTGGTGCTGAGGATCGAACCCGGGCCGCACGCCTGCCAGGCGAGTGCGCTACCACTTGAGCCACATCCCCAGCCCTAGGCAAGCACTCTTAACACTGAGCTACAGCCTCAACCTCCCACCCCCCAGTCCTTTTTTTTTTAAGAGAGAATTTTTTAATATTTATTTTTTAGTTTTCGGTGGACACAACATCTTTATTTTATTTTTTATGTGGTGCTGAGGATCGAACCCAGCGATCCTTGCATACCAGGTGAGCTTGCTACCACTTGAGCCACATCTGACCCCCACCACCCTGTCCTTTTTTAAATGTTGAGACAGGGCCTCAGTTCCTGAGGACTTCATCAGTTCTTGAGGCTGTCCTTAAACATGCAGTCCTCCTCAGCCTCCTGAGTGACAGGGATTACAAGCATGTATCATCATTCATGAATGCTTGAATGTTTTAAAGAATACATGTGGTTAAAAATTTTCTGAGAGGGATGCAGGAGATGTAGGAATTCTCTCCAGGAGAGAGGAGTTCCTGTTTGGAGAAAGGCAAAGAAGGGTGTCCCACGAAGAAATGGTTCCTTATCCTTCTTGGGGAATATTAATGGGAAAGTAGGTAAGATTGAACAGGTCGTTGACGGCTTGCTAATGTGACCTGAAAAATGGCTGATGGACATTGTTATCACCTAAAGGAAAAGGTCAGTGTGAACTCTGATACACAAGGGAGTTGAATTGGATTATTGTGATATTCAAGTTTGCTGCATGACCCCTCTGCCTTCTTTGAACTGAATTAAGGATGAATAAATGAAGGGGGATAGGGTTGTTTTATAGGCAAATAATGACTGAGGGAGGAGCAGCTTTGGGAATAAAACTTTTGGGTAACTCGATGCTCCTCTATAACATAGGCAGGAATCTGGAAGCGGGGGTGGTGTGTCAGACAGGATCTCCTGGGTTGGAGCGGGAGTGGAAGCTGTTAGGAGACATTATGACCACAAGAGAGGCCAAGGACTGCCCTCCCATCCATTAATTACTCAAAGCCGGTGGGGCGAGAGAAACCGTTGTTGCCAGCCGGGCGTAAAGGCCCTAGGCTGTAATCCCAGCAACTCAGGTTGAAGTCGGAGGATAGCAAGTTCAAGACCGGCCTGGGTAATTTAGCGAAACTAAAAAAGGGCTGGGGATGCAGCTCAACGACTCATTCCCCAGTACCGAAAAAAAAGTACAAAAAATACTTTCAGCAAAGAACGCGCGGGAAGTCCGGAGTTTTCCCGCCACGGCCAGGAGCAAGACCAGTGACGTCAGAGCTCCGCCTCCACGAAGACGCTACAGTTGGGCTCCGCCCTTACCAACATGGCGGCAGGCGTGGGACCCGAAATAGCTTTCGCCTTGACTCTACTTCCGGGGTGAAGGTGGGACTACCCTGTTGAGCCCCACCTCTTCCGCAGACGCCCGCGCGTAGCGGGGAGGTTACTGGACCCTTCATTCTGCCCCTCTTCCCCCGTAGAGTTCCTGAGTTCCTGAGGCGTGCTGCGTCGGCAACGGTAGTGACGCGCTTTGCCGGGAGAATGGCGGACTCCAGCATGCGCCGCGTGATTCCCAGCGACCTGTATCCCCTAGTGCTAGGCTTTCTGCGTGATAACCAACTCTCGGAGGTGGCAAATAAGTTCGCCAAAGCGACAGGCGCTGTAAGTTCTTGGCTTGGGGCACGTTCTGGGGTGGGATGACCCCAAGGCTTCAGGCCCTGACATGGTTTAGGTTTTCGGGGAGGTCGGTTGGGTCCGCCAGTCCAGTTGTCTACGAGACTTGTGTCGACCTATCCAGAGTGATGGGAGAAAGCCGGGGGCATCGGCGCCTTCTAACTAGATAGCGCAGAGTCCTATTGCTTTTTCCTGGTGATTCAGGCAGCGGCGGCAGCGTGGGTCACGCGTGGCCTAGGTCACATGGCTGGCAGAGTGCGGAGAGGAGCTAGCGATGCGTCCCACAGCGGGCACGGACTTTGTGGGGGACTTTGTGTTCGCCTAACAAAACGTGGTTTGACCTTACCCTCAATGGCACTTAGCTGGGACTTGGGAGTAAAATGAAATTGCTTCAAAAATGAAGGCTAGGATTTTCGTTACAATCTAGGTTTAGGACCAGAACTGTCACTTTTTAGATCTATAATCCTGGCTACTCGCTTAACCTTTCTTAGTCTGTTTTTTTTTTTTCCTACAGAAATGTCATCCACTTTTTAGGATTTTTGCAAGTTTCAGTAAGATAAATATACAAAGTAACAGCCCCAGTTCTTGTGCACAGAAAGTAGGGAGTGAGTGACAACTGTTATCCTAGTTACGGCAATTTATGGTGCTCCAAACACCTGTGAGAACAAGATGATCAGGAATATGAAAGACTTGTAATCTACATCTCAAAAAACATGAGTTATGCTTGCATGAGGAACACCTTGAGGAGCATAGAGTAGAATTCCTGGGAATGATAGGATAACTAAAAGTAAACTTGTCCTTTTGAAACAGACTCAAGCTGCAAAAGTAGAGGATCAAATTAGTGTATAAAGGACTACCTTAATCTGGAATCTATTCTATGTGATCTAACTGCTTTCTTATTGGAACTGTTTTGACTGTTAGGCAGTGTGCATGGAATTGGGCATTTTGGAGTTAGTATTCCTTTTGTTGGGGGAGGGGTTACCCAGGGATTGAACTGAGGGGCACTCAACCACATCCCCAGCCCTATTTTGTATTTTATTTTAAAGACAGGGTCTCACTGAGTTGCTTAGAGCCTCTCTGTTGCTGAGGCTGACTTTGGACCGGCAATCCCGCAATCCTCCTGCCCAGCCTTGCGCCAGCTGGAGTTAGTTTTTGTCACTAACTTTATGAAGGACTTCTAAAAGCCAGATGCTGTTTCTCACTGGGCGTGGTGGTGCATGCCTGTAATCCCAGCAGCATAGGAGGCTGGGATAGGAGGATCAAGAGTTCAAATCCAGGGCTGGGATTGTGGCTCAGCCATAGAGCACTCCCAGGACTCGGGTTCGATTCTCAGCGCCACATAGAAAATGAAGGCATTGTGTTGTGTCCATCTACACCTAAAAAATAAATATTAAAAAAAAAAAAAAATTCAGGGCTGGGGATGTGGCTCAAGCGGTAGCGCGCTCTCCTGCGTGCGACCCAGGTTCGATCCTCAGCACCACATACAAACAAAGATGTTGTGTCCGCCGAAAACTAGAAAATAAATATGGAAAAATTGTCTCTCTCTCTCTCACACTCTCTCTCTTTTTTTTTTTTTTTTAAAGAGAGAGAGAGAATTTTTAATATTTATTTTTTAGTTTTCGGCGGACACAACATCTTTGTTTGTATGTGGTGCTGAGGATCGAACCCGGGCTGCACGCATGCCAGGCGAGCGTGCTACCGCTTGAGCCACATCCCCAACCCCACACTCTCTCTTTAAAAAAAAAAAAAAAAAATACAATACTGCCTTAACCCTGGCAGTTGAGGAAAACCTAAACTCCATCTCAGAAATTCCATTGCTTTATTAAGACCCTTTTAAAAAAAAAATTCAGAGCCAGCCTCAGCAAGGCCAGGTGCTAAGTAACTCAGCGAGACCCTGTCTCTAAATAAAATACAAAAAAGGGCTGGGGATGTGGCTGAATGTTTGAGTGCCCCAGAGTTCCATCCCTGGTACAAAAAAAAAGAAAGAAAGAAAAAATCCAGATACTGTTTCTGGATGCTAAGCCCTCTCTGTGTATTATTGCATAGTCTCCCAACAATTTAATAAGATGTGTAGTACTATCTCCTTTTTATGGAGAAGAAAAGAGTCTGAGAGATTAATTTGCTGAGAGTAATATAGTAATAACTACAGAGGTGAGTTCATCTCTACCTGGCTGTCACTAAGCCTGTACTTTTTTTTTTCTTTTGATGCTGGGTATTGAACTGAGGCCTTTACACATGCTAAGCACACAGTCTATCTACCATTGAATTATATCCCTAGGCTATGAGATTTACTTATTTGCATACTGTAAAACCTTGCCATTTTTTGCAGTTATCAGTTTAATTAATAACTGAATAAAATTATTTGTTTTAGCAGTATTGGGGATGGAATCCAGGGCCTCCCACATGCTGTGTAAGCACTCAACCTCTAAGCTACATCCTCAGACTTTAAATTTTATTTTGGGACAAAATCTCACTAAGTTGCCTAGGCTGACCTCTAGTGATTCTGCTGTCTCAGCCTCCTGAGTAGCTTGAATTATAGGTACGTAATACCATGCCCACCTTTAAATGCAGTTCTTTTTGGGAGGGGGGGTTGAATTCAAGGGCGCTTGACCACTGAGCCACATCCTCAGCCTTATTTTGTATTTTAGTTGCTTAGAGCCTCACCGTTGCTGAGGCTGGCTTTGAACTCACTTGATCCTCCTGCCTCAGCCTCCCCAAGTTGATGGGATTACAGGTGTCTGCCACCTCGCCCAGCTGAATGCAGTTCTTTACTGAATATATCACACTTATCACTCTTCTCTGGGAGGCTTATTTCTAGTGGTTTGGTATGGGTAATCCACATTGTATCAGATACCAGCTTGTATTAGTGTTTGTGCCCCTGTTTCAGTGTAAGATTAAATTCTTAGATTTAAATGCAATACTAGAGTAAAAGGAATGAACATTTGGAAAGACTTTGATAGTGCCAGGCATGGTGGCGCACTCCTTTAATCCCATCAACTTTGGAGGCTGAGAGGATTGCAAGTTTGAGGCCAGCCTCAGCAACTTAGAAGGAGATGTGATTCAGTGTAAAGCACCCCTGGATTCAATCCCCAATACAAAAAAAAAAAAAAGATAACTATGGATTGGCAGGCAGGGAGTAGGTGGTGCTACAAACTTCAGGAATATTTTTCTCCTAATTTGTGCAAGTGGGAAACGTTTTGTGAAAATTTAACATTTCAGAGTGAATAAATAACCAATACCTACATAACAAGTCACATTTAATGAAAGTGTAACTCAAAATCTGACTTCTCTTTGAATAACTAGGATAATGTTTTCTTACCCAGCTCTTTCTTCTCTACAGACACAGCAAGATGCCAATGCCTCTTCCCTCTTGGACATCTATAGCTTCTGGCTGAAGTAAGCCTTCCCTGTTCTAGCTGGGCTCTCTTCTTCCCCCAGGTGGGCTGGGCAATGTTCCTTGGTTTGAGAAGGTCCTGATCCCCCAGAAGTTAGCCTAATCTTCCTTAGCAGGTCAACCAAGGCCCCAAAGCGGAAGTTACAGACAAATGGACCAGTGACGAAGAAGGCTAAGAAGAAGAGCTCATCCAGTGACAGCAGTGAGGACAGCAGTGAGGAGGAAGAGAAGAAAGTTCAAGGGCCTCCAGCTAAGAGGGCTGGTAAGGGGGTTGAGCGTGGTGGCTCCAGGAAGATAGTTTGCTTCTTGTCTGAACCACATGATGATTCTTACTGGGACCTGTACTTTCATTCAGCTGTACCTGGCAAGCGGGCCAGTCTGCCTCAGCGTCCTGGAAAGGCTGTGGCCAAAGCTTCAGAGAGTAGCAGTAGTGAAGAATCCAGTGATGATGATGAGGAGGAGGAAGAGGAAGACAAAAAGAAAAAGGCTCCCCAGGTTTGTAGCTTTGTGCAAAAAGGCAATTGCTTAAGGGTTTGAAAAGGAAGGAACCTAAAATTGGCCTGTTACTTGTGACCAACTGGGGTGATAATGACTGTTTAGTAGGTTATTATGGGGAAGAAAAGGGATTTTTCATGGAAATTTGAAAGTCTGGAAAGAATGTGAAGTTGAAGTTGGGCTTTGAATCTAAGGGAAATTCAAATCTGCTTGAGTGGTTTGGGTTCTTCTGGGACACTGTTTAGGTTTCCAGGAATAACAATGTATTTTGTTAGAAGTTGTTAGCGGGATACAGCATAGACAAGGCCAGTATATCAGTGACCAAACTTTTTGTGTCTTTTACTGAGTGTTTTATTCTTGCCATATTCTGCCCTGCTTGGACTACTCTCATCTGTAGTGTTGCATAAGACCCCTAAAGAATAAAAGGAGGGGTTGAGGATTTAGTTCAGTGGCAGAGTGCTTGCCTAGTATATACAAGGCCCTGAGTTCAGTCCTCAGCCCTTGAAAAAAATAAATAAGTAAATTTAAAAAAAAAAAAAAAGGAAACTTGGATGCCCTCACCCAGAAACTCTTACTGATTCCCCTCCTGTGTTTTCTAATAGAAGGGAGTTAAACCCCAAGTCAAGGCAGCCAGAGCTGCTCTTAAGAAAGCCAGGAACTCTGAGTCGGATTCTGACTCAAGCTCAGAGGATGAGGCACCAAAGAACCAGAAGACAAAGACAACACCTGTGGCAGTGAAAACTCAGGCAAAAGCCCCACCCAAACCAGGTACTGTTTTTGTTCCCAAGATATTGGGTATGGATGGTTTGGGAGGTTGAAGCAGGAGAATCGTGAGTTCAAAACCAGCTTCTTCAACTTACTGAGACCCTAAGCAACTTTGTGAGACCCTGTCTCAAAATAAAAAGGGCTAGGGATGTGGCCCGGTGGTTAAACACCCCAGTACCCCCCCCCCAAAAAAAAAAAAAAAAAGGCCAGGGACCAGAGTGCCCTGGGGACTGGTATTAAAATTGCTCATTAGACACCAGATTGAAATGGTATTGGTTATTGAACTAGAGGAGGTGATCATGAACAGTGTGGGGTTTTTTGTTTGTTTTTTAAAGAAGACTTCTATAGTTTTCTTTGTGATAAAGGTTAGGTTATATTTATAAGAGCTTGTCTGAATAGAGGCTGAAATGAAAGACTTCAGAGGATTTATTTAAATGATTCTTCTCAGGCATACCAACTCGAGTAGATCCTAAAGTAACCAATGGCAAAGCAGTCAGCAGCAGTAGCAGCAGCAGCAGCAGCAGTAGCAGTGATGACTCAGAGGAGGAGAAGGCAACAGCCATCACCAAGAAGGTGATATACCTTTTCTGGGCTCTAACTTTTCTCAGGGAAGAAGTGGCCAGGGGGATGGGAGAGTCTTCATTCTCAAGCAGAATTGTTTGGCTCAGTATTTTCCTCTGGTTATCAATTTTTCTCTCGATACAGACTGTACTTAAAAAGCAAGTTGTAGCCAAAGTCCCAGTGAAAACAGCTGTCACCCCTGCACAGAAGAGCTCTAGCAGTGAAGATTCCTCCAGTGAGGAGGAAGAGGAGGAGAAAAAACCCATTAAGAAAAAAACAGGTGATTGGACTTGGGAATTCAAGCTTTATGACTGGCCAGTGCTTAGTTGCAGTCACCACATGGACCTTTCCTTAGAGCTACTTGAGTGCCTTCATGACATGACAGCTAGCTTCTCCCAGAGCTAGGAATCTAAGAAAGTAAAGAGGATGTCACAGTGCTGTGTATAACCTAGACTCGGGATTGAGCTAAGGTCCTTGTGCATGCTAGGCAAGTGTTACGCCTGAGTCAGCCCTTGTATATATCATTTTTTAAACAGGTCCCTACAGTTCAGTCCCCCCACCTTCTGCTCCACCACTGAAGAAATCCCTGGGTACCCAGCCACCCAAGAAAGCTGTGGAGAAGGTACAGCCTGTGGAAAGCAGTGAAGACAGTAGTGATGAATCTGGTGAGTCAGAGATGCTGCTTCCCCCTAAAAATGGGTCTGGGGAGGTTATAAGAATTAGGAAAATAAAGTTGGGTGTGATGGCACATGACTGTAATACTAACAGCTCAGGGGGCTGAGGCAGGAGGATTGAGAGTTCAAAGCCATCCTCAGACAGTTTCAGCAAAAGTGAAGCACTGAGCAACTCAGTGAGACCCTGTCTCTTAAAAGGGGGGGGGGGGGGGGGCAGCTGGGGATGTGGCTCACTGGTCAAGTGCTCCCAAGTTCTCTCCTGGTTGGGTTGGGATTCTGGACCCAGCATAATGCCAGTTATTTCTTCCTAGATTCAAGTTCTGAAGAAGAGAAGAAACCCCCAGCTAAGGCAGTCATCTCCAAAGCAACCACAAAACCAAATCCAGCAAAAAAGGCAGGAGGAAGCTCTTCAGATAGCTCAGGTAAGGCATACAGAGGCCCTCAGTGCAGCTGCTATAGGGCTCCCTGAATTCGATTTGAGGAGCTGTTCATTCTGTTTTCCTCTGTCTAGACACTGACAGCTCTGAGAATGAAGCTCCTGCCCAGCCAGCTAGTACCATCAAGAATTCCAAAAGTAAGCCAGCTGCCACTCTCAAGCCACCTGTGGCTAAGCCAGCTACAAATACTAAGCAACCTGCAGGCAGTGGCCAGAAGCCTCTGACCAGAAAGGCGGATAGTAGTTCCAGTGAGGAGGAGAGCAGTTCCAGTGAGGAGGACAATACAGAGAAGACTGTGATCACCCCTAAGTCCAAGGTGACTGCCAAAACAGCACCATCTCTCCTTGCTAAACAGGCTCCTCAGAATGGTGGGGACAGCTCTGATTCAGACAGTTCCAGCAGTGAGGAGGAAGAGGAGAAGACATCTAAATCCCCAGTTAAGAAGAAGCCCCAGAAGGCAGCAGGAGCTATAACGCCTTCTAAGACAGCCTCTGTAAAGAAAGTCAAGGCTGAGAGCAGCAGTAGCTCTTCTTCTGATGACTCCAGTGAGGAAGAGGAAGAAAAACCCAAGAGCAAGGGCACTCCTAAACAACAAGCCCTCAAGGCCAATGGCACCTCAGCATTGACTGCCCAGAATGGAAAATTAGGCAAGGACAGTGAGGAAGAAGAGGAGGAAGAGAAGAAAAAGGCAACAGTGGCAGTTTCCAAGCCAGGTCTGTATCCAGAGAACCTGTCCTCAGTTTTGTTCCCCATGTCTGACAGGATAATACTTTTGGATGTTGGGCAGTGAGAGAAGGCCTAACAGTTTTCTGTTGTGGACCCTCAAAGCCAGCCTCAGCAAAAGCGAAGTACTAAGCAACTCAGTGAAACCCTGTCTCTTAATTAAAAAGTAAAAAAAGGGCTGGGGATGTGGCTCAGTGCTCAAGTTCAATCCCCGGTACCAAAAAAAAAAAAAAGGAAAGAAAAAATTAGTAAGAAATCTCTGTTTTTTCATTGCTTTTGGCTAAAGTGAAACAGGGCCAACACATGGTGTGTTTTCTTACTGTTTTTATTGCTTTCCTGGTTGGGTTAGGACCTGGGCCCAGCATAATTTCTGAGGAGGAATGGGAAACTACTATTGAGTCTGGCTTTTTCTTTTGTAGGTTCAGGAAAGAAACGGAAGCAGAATGGGGCAACCAAGGAGACAGCAACTCCTGAAGCCAAGAAGATTAAGCTTCAGACTCCTAATACATTTCCGAAAAGGAAGAAAGTAAGTTGTCTTGTTTTCTTCTCGGGAGCCAGTCTTTAAAAGGAAAATATGCTATCATCTTTACAGTTTGCCCTGGCACCATTCAGCCGCTAAATGACCCCATCTTTAATTTCCTACATAATTCTTTAGGGAGAAAAAAGATCATCTTCCCCATTCCGAAGGGTCAGAGAGGAAGAAATTGAGGTGGATTCACGAGTGGCAGATAACTCCTTTGATGCCAAGGTGAGAGGGGATGGTGTTTACCATTCTTGGGAAGTGGGGGAGGCTCAAGGAAGCATTTGAAGCCCTCCAGGTTCAGTTTGTCTTGGGTAGGGAGTAGAAAGAGAAGACATGGGGGCCCTGGCATTGTCCTGTGTGTGTTAATTGCCTCTCTCTCCTTACCAGCGAGGCGCAGCTGGAGACTGGGGGGAGCGAGCCAATCAGGTTTTGAAGTTCACCAAAGGCAAATCCTTCCGGCATGAGAAAACCAAGAAGAAACGGGGCAGCTACCGGGGAGGTTCTATTTCTGTCCAGGTCAATTCTGTCAAGTTTGACAGTGAGTGACCTGGGGTCACCTTAGGTAAAACAAGGATGATGATGGGAAGCCACTCATCTTCTCAAGTGGACCTGGAAACCCTCAGCACTGTTAGTGGAGGGTCTTGGTGAGGACAGAAGGTTAGAGTAGGTCCTAAGACTTTGCAACATTAACGTCCTCTCTGGTCCTTTTCTTTGTTCCTAGTTTTGTACAGATTTGTTTTTGAGTGTTGAGTATCAGGGACAACGTAAGAAGAATGTTGTTTTTTTAAGAAAATCATTTTAGTTGTTCCAGTCTTCCTGTTCTGTGGAAGTCCTCATACTAAGAAATTTGTACATTTTATATTAAATCATTTCTTATTGATTTTTGTTGTGATTTTCAGAGGTGATTTCCCACGGATAAAATCTTAATTATTGCTTAAGACATGGTAAAAGGTCACATGAATTTTTATAATTGAAGACTTCTGCCCATGTGAGTGTACATGACCACATTCACCCCTACTTTCCTCAGAGCCCTAGTAAGGGGAATTTAAAGAATGGTTAATGTATATGTATAGTCTGTTGAGCATGCATTTTAGTTCATTCTCATTCATGTGTCTGGGACTGAAGCTTTCAGCCAGCATGGACCTACCCAATATTTTGGGATAAAATTCACTGTTCTGTTACAGGCAGAATTTTAGTGTGGTGTGAATGCCATGGATCAATTTAAATATTATGTTTTCTGTGATTTTTGTCGTTTGCAATACATTTGTTTTTTGTTTGAAAGCAAACTTTTGTATGATTGAACGGTATTTTTCAACAACTTGACCCTTACTAATGTTATACAAAGTGGAGGACTACATCTTCTCCTGTTTTTACATTGTTGAAAAAAAAAATCACATGAATTTTATGTGAAAAGCACATTTTACTTGGTATTTTTGCCTTGGTAGCAGTGGTGACCCAGAATTGATTTAATTCATTCCTACATGGTGGAGAATTACCGATCAAGAATGTTGAAAAAAAAAAAAAAACTGTGATTAAAAACCTCAGTCCTCAGTACAGGTAGATTACATCAGGTGAACCCAGAGGCAACCTTTATATGTTCTCACATAGGTGGAAAAGAACCGTTGCAAAACAGATGATCTGATAAAATTAAGTAGAGTGGGATTGGGAAATCCTAATAGATTACTGTGTCTTCATGTTGGTACATAGGAGCAACTGATTTGTTCAGTTCAGAAACTTAACACTGAAGTTAATAAAAAATCGGTGAGCAGATCGGGGCCTCTCAGCGTCACCAGTTGCTGTGTGTGCACGCGGAGGACTGAGCTAGCTCGCAATAAACACCTCTTTGCTGCTTACATCAAAAAAAAAAAAAACGGTGAGAAGAGCTGGGGGTGTACCTCAGTGGTATATTTAGCACTTGCTTAGCATGTGCGAGGTCCTAGGTTCAATCCCTACCACCATAAAAAATAACTAGTGAGCAGAGACATGATTACTATCTAAGAAAACTGATTTTAAGACTGAGGTGACCAATGCTGAGTTAGAGCATGGGGGAGGAAAGAATCATTGAGCTTTCTGGAGGCTGGGCAGTTTCTTTGTCGAGAACATGTACCCCAAGCTTTCATTGATGCATTTAGGTCTTTTGTTTGAATTCCATACTCACTAAATAACCTGATAAAATCTGGTTTTCAGTATAACTGCTCTAAGAAGAAATGCACTGTTCATGCTGACATACATATTTCAGTCTGCATGGCAAAAGTTCTACATCTTCCCACAAAATAATAAACTAACTGGTTTATAATGTGCCTCGGGAGTCCTATTATTGAATCTGAACCCATCCTGCTCAAATCAGAACAACTTTGGTGCAAAATAGGGCCAGGGTCCACACTTGTGGGTTCACTCGGGAGGCCTTTTGGCAGCACATTCCTGATTCTTGGTCACACCTGGTCTCCTAGTGCCTTTTCAAGGCTTTATTTCCGCTAAACTAGGGGTTGGTAAAATGGCCTGTAGCCAAATTCAGTCCATGGCTGGTTGTTAAAAATTTTAAGATTATGTTTTTGTATTACCTAGGTTTTTACATTTTTAAAGGTATCTTCAAACTGTAGGGCTGCATGAGGTGGCACATGTGGCACAAGCCTGTAATCGCAGTGTCTCTGGAGACTGAGGCAGGAGGATTGCAAGATCAAAGCCAGCCTAAGCAACTCCAGGGAGACCCTGTCTCAAAATATAAAAATAGGGCTGGGGATGTGGCTCTGTAGTTAAGTGCCCTGGGTTCCTAAATGCCTTTTTAAATTTTTTTTTTTTCCCCTTTTAATACTGGGGAGTGAACCCAGGGCCTCACATGCTAGGTGAACCCTTTTATCATTGAGCTACATGCATAGCCCTTTATTATTTTGGGGGAGGTTTGGGCACCAGGGTATGCCAACAAGCCTAGGAGCCTAAAATATCCAAAATGTAGCCCATGACAGAACTGATTTTTCCAACTCCTGGTTTAAATCTGTGCCTCATAATACCGACTGAACATAAGAATTATCTGAGAGCTTAAAAACTGTTCCTGTCCCCAGGTCTGTTGAGTGCTCCTTTGTGGGGGGAGGGGTGTGGTAGTTAGAAATTGATAAATCTCCCTGGTGAGTCCAATGAGCAAGCAGAATTGAGAACCACTCACCTAAGGGTATTTGAAAATGAATGAACCAGTCTTGGTGGTGCATGCCTAAAATCCCAGCCACTGGGGAGGCTGAGGCAGGAGGATTACAAATTGTAGGCCAGCCTCAACAACTTGGTGAGGCCATCAACAACCTAGTGAGACCCTGTCTCAAAAAAAAAAAAAAAAAAAAAACCTAAGTGGGGTAAAGTGCCCTTGGGTTCAATTCCTAGTACAAAAGGAAAAAAAAAATTGGGAGTGTTGGGGGTATAGCTCCAGAGGTAGAGCACTTGCCTGAGGCCTTGTGTTCCAGCACAGGAAAAAAAATAAAGGTATTGTGTCCATCTACAACTAAATAGGTGGGCATGGTGGTGCACACTAACAATCTCAGCAACTCCAGAGGCTGAGGCAAGAAGACTGCAAGTTCGAGGCCAGCCTCAGCAATTTAGTGAGAACCTGTCTCAAAAATAGCTGGGGAGGGCTGGGGTTGTAGCTCAGTGGTAGAGCGCTTGCCTTGCACATGTTAGGCCCTGGGTTCGGTTCTCAACACCACATTAAATAAATAAATAAATAAATGAAAACAAAGATATATATTTAAAAAAAAATAGCTGGGGATGTAGATCAGTGGTAGAGCTCCCCTGGGTTCAATCCCCAATACCAATAAAGGATTTAAAAAATTTCCATCTCAGCCCCATCTTTTGGAACTTGGTCTCCTTCTAGAGTTTCTGTATGTAGTTATCCCTCATTATCTAAAGGATATGGGTTCTAGGACTCCTAAACCCAATCTCTGAAAATACCAAAATCTGTAATGCTCAAGTTCCATTTATAAATGGCTCCATATTTTGGTATACCTACATGCATACAAATTTAAATCATCTCTACATTGCTTACAATACCTAATACAAGCCAGTTCTAGGATATGTGCATTTAACTTTTTTTTTTTTTTTTTTGGCAGTGCTGGGCATTGAACCCAGTGTCTCAGGAATGCTTGGCAAGGTTCTACCACCAACCTGCACCAATTGTACATTTATTTATTTATTTATTTTAGAGAGAGAGAGAGAGAATTTTAATATTTTTTTTTTAGTTTTCGGCGGACACATCTTTGTTTGTATGTGGTGCTGAGGATCGAACCTGGGCTGCACGCATGCCAGGCGAGCGCGCTACCGCTTGAGCCACATCCCCAGCCCCCAATTGTACATTTAACATGTTGATCATTATTGCCCTATAAAACCATCCTAAATTGTGGTTCTAGCAACAATGCATAAAAGTGCCTCTGCTTGCCTTCTAACCAACATTACTTACCATGTTAATGTCTGCTACTTGGATAAATGAAAATACTATCATGTTATTGGTTTGTTTATGGCTCTTTGTTTTGTGGTAAAACATTAAGTTTACCATCTTAACTATTTTTAAGTGTTAGAGGTGTCAAGTATATTCACATTGTGCAGAGATTTCTAAAACTTTTTCATTTTATAAAACTGAAACTATATCCATCAAACTCTTTTTTAATTTTTTTTAATTTTTTTAATATTTATTTTTTTTAGTTTTCGGCGGACACAACATCTTTGTTTGTATGTGGTGCTGAGGATCGAACCCGGGCCTCACGCATGCCAGGCGAGCGTGCTACCGCTTGAGCCACATCCCCAGCCCAGTCCATCAAACTCTTAATCCTCCCCCAGCCTTGGCAACCATTCTACTTTGTTTTTATGATTTTTGACTACTTTAGATACTTGATATGAGTGGAATCAATAGTATTTGGCTTTTTGTAACTGGTTTATTTTATTTAGCATAATATCCTCTATGTTGTAGCAAATTGCATAATATTCCATTGTATGCATCTACCATATTTGTTTATCCATGTCATTGCTGTTTGTATTGGATGTACATTTCTCTTACACATTTAATCATTGGTATTTCTTTTCTATTTAGTGTAGCCAGCTCTGTACCTTATTTCAATTAATTTATATTTTTCTTAATGATTTGTGCTTTTTGATATATTAAGCAGATTAGCCATCTATCATGGATTGCAAATATTTGGTTTTCTGGTATTTGCATTTTATAATTGAATACAATGTACATCTATCGATTTTCTCCCCAGATGAATCAATTGTGATCTTACTGTTTAAAAACCAAAGCCTACCTTATTTTCCTGGTGGTGGTGGTGTTTTATAGTTGGGGTTGAACCCAGGGATACTTTATCACTGAACTACATCCCCAGGCTTTTATATTTTTTATTTTGGGAACGTTCTCACTAAGTTGCTGAGGCTGTCCTCCAACTTGGAATCCTGCCTCAGCCTCCCGAGTTGCTGCAATTACAGGCATGCACCACCATGCCCAGCTTCTGGGTGTTTTTTGTTGTTTTTGAGATGGGACTGTGTTACCGAGACTGGCCTCAAATTTGTAATCCTCTTGCCTCAGCCTAATGAGCTGGAATTATAGGCGTAAACCACCATGCCCAGCCACTTGTTTTTCTTTTGCATTTTATGAACATATCTGGAAACTTTTCCTATCTTGTTTGCTTTTTTTCTTTGATTTGCCGCAGTGGGGATGGAACCCAGGGTCTTATGCATGCTGGACAAGCTCTTCACCACTGAGTTACATCCTAACACTTTTGTGTGTATAAGTGTGTGTGATTTGGGGTTTGTTTTTTTATAGTAGACTTCTTTTCCTTTTAGGCCTTGCAAAACTAAACTTGTTCATTATCTGCAGCTGATGTGTTACATTAATGAAGCAGTTTAGCAAATTCTCTAACAACATTCACTAGGAAGGTAACCCTAACCTAATCCTAACCCTAACCTCTGTCTTCTGTTTTGTCATATGTAAAATGAGAGTACCCTGTCATCTCAGAGGGTGGTTATTGTAAGGACTGAGAATTTTTCTAATGAACTTAGCATAGTCCCTGTTATTGTAGGCACTACATCACTGCCACTTGCTCAATAAAAGGATTTTTTTTTTTTCTTTCTTGGTGGATTGTAGTTCAATGCTAATATGGCTGTCAGGAAAACAACATTTCTAGGTGACCACTGAATTTTCAGATCCCTTTTGCTCCCCGAGTTTGCTTATGCTGTCTGCAGTTACTGAGGTAGCCAGTAGGTGGGGGCTCTTGCTCACTGCATAGGGAGCTAGAGAATATTAATTGAAGAATTAGTTGAGAATACTAGTTGAACCCTTAACAAAAGTTCCATTCAAAAACTTCAGGAATCACAGCAAGAGAATCTGCTTGTATGTATTCCCTGTGTTCTTTGAGTGAGAGTGAGAACTGGATACAAAAAGAATAAGACACACACACCCTCTTTTGAAACTCCTTGGTTCTGGAGAGTGGTGAAGCCTTCTGATCTTTAGTCTGTACTGGTTATCCATGAGGTAGTACACCTGTTACATTAAAGCTAGCTGCAGGCAACATGGCTTGTATGAGCGATAATGTTCACCGCAGAACCTCCAGCCCTTCCAAGGTAAAGACAAAGAAGGAAAAAGAAGCGATTCCAATCAAGATGAAAATACTGGTTGCCTTTAGCAAGGAGGAAAAGAGTTGGTGATTAGGAGTGGCATAAAAGCAATTTCCTTGAGTTGAGCAGTGATTTAGATTAATTCATTAAGTTGCACTTCTATCCTTGTATTTCATCTTTTTTTTT